TACAAATGGTTAGTACCGAAGACCTTTCACTCTATAAACTGGTCAAAACTACAAAAAATACCCCTTTTTTCCAGCCCCCCAACTTATTGATCCAAAAGGTCTCGTGTTCGATTATGAAGCTAAAGCAGATCTCTTTACAGATTCACTGAAGAATTCTTGCCAGGAGAATGCAGAATTTTACGAGGACGATTTTATTGAAAAGGTTTAACGAAACATCAGATTCCAAAATAATCAAAATTCACCAGCTATTCCCAAACTCCCCTCCCCTCAAGAAGTTATGGACATAATTTAAAAACTAAACAATAAAAAATCACCAGGTCATGATCAAATTAAAAATATTGCACTTAAATCCTTACCCTTGAAAGCAATCACTCACCTAACCAAAATTTACAATCAATGTTTAATCTTTAATCGTTTCCCAAAAGCATGGAAACATGCAATTGTTGTTCTCTTCCCCAAAACTGAAAAAAATATATAATATTCTGATAGTTACAGACTTATCAGCCTCCTCAGCACAATAGCTAAAATTTTTGAAAAAATACTACTAAATATAATCAAAGATTTTTTCAGAACAAATAACATCACACCTCCACAGCAACATGGTTTTCAAGTGAATACATCCACCTGTCATCAATTGCTTCGGGTGGTAAACTTAATAACAAAAGGTTTCAATGAAAAATGGCAACGGTGAGCGTCTTCCTCGACGTGCAAAAAGCTTTTGACAAAATGTGGCATGATGGCTTCATATATAAATTAATTTAACTCCAGTTTTCTACCTATTTCATGAATATCATTCAAGATTTTTTCTCCGATAGAGCCTTCCAAGTCCATTTCAACAAAAAACTATCAAAAATAGGGAAAGTTCAAGCCGAAACTCCACAAGGAAGCATTTCAAGTCCAGAATTATTCAATTTATTCAATTCTGATATTCCTCAGTACGAAAACATCGAAATATGTGCATTCGCAGATGATACCGTCATCATTTTCCAAGGAAGTCATCCCGTTAATGTTCACAATCGCGTCCAAATCTACCTCCTCATCCACCAATTCTGGTTTATAAAATGGAGAATAACCATTAACACAAACAAATCTCAAGCAATGGTCTTTAAGAAAATGGTCTTTAATGGTACAATGGTCTTTAGAAACAAACTTGAAAAATTTCGTATTTTCATGAAAAGAATCAACTGGTGCAATTAAGTTAAATATCTCGGCGTCCTCATCGATAAAAATCTCACCTACCGTACGCACATTCTGTCAATCAAAAAAAAAAAAAAAAAAAAATACAAATCCGATTTTTCCTGCTCAAAAAACTCCCGAGTCAAAAATCCAAACTTTCGCTAAGAAACAAGCTCTTAATTTACAAAATCTACATGCTTCCAGTCTTTATTTATGCAATCCAAATTTGTGGGATTTCCACAGAAACAAATCTTAACATTCTTCAGATTGAACAAAATAAAATATTACTCTATATAGCAGATGCACCTATTTTCGTCAAAAGAACACATCTTCACAAAGAACTCAAATAGAGCCCAACCCTACTCGAATGGATAATTTAACACCTTCATTTCACAACGACATTTCAAGCAGCAACAATCCAACTATCAATGGCCACTCAATTTCAAGCTCATACCGAAAAATATAAATATTCTTTTAATGCATCCAAGTTAAAGCTAACGTTTTGAAGCGACTCACTCATTGATTATCTTTCATTAAAAATTGAAATTTCCACAGTCATCCAGGAAAAAAAAAAAATTTTACAGACTTAATTTCTCATCCTCTGATTTCCTCCAATTGGAGCCCGAGGATCAACCAATCAGGAAGCAAGCTTCACCCGCTCAATATCAAGCTCCTAGACGATGTCTACCTTCCCCTACTCCTAGGGCTCAAAACTCCTTTCCTCACTCCTTGTCCATACGAGAGCTCGACCGTCACCTACGACGATTTTTCTTGTATATTTTTATTTTCATGTTATATTACTCATACCGAGTGAGAGAAATCCCAGATTTCTGTAAACTCGAAATAAATACATTGTCAAGTCTTTTACGTTGGCGCACCCCTACTACTGCTCTTCTCAAATTGACCCATCTCGAATTTCCTCAACACGTTACTCAAGGAATTTAAGGCCAGGTTAGAAATTATAAACAACGCAGTGTCGGTAGCAACAAGTAACTCCGTTTAGTTCACGAATTGGCTACTTTGTAACTAGTAAACAGTAATTCTATCAGCATAGACGCACGTCATTTTCTATGCAATTTAAAAAAAAAAAAACATTAATGATATTTTAAGTATCATTTTCCTACTGAACTGAATCAAAAAGTTTCGAATCTCAAAACCATTCGATTCCCAGCGATACAAATGAATGTTTTTTTAGCATTCAATCGTTTTCTTATAGTAAAAAGATTACAAGAAAAAGAATCTCTATACTTTTGAAACCCGTGTACAGTAAGAGGATACATGCATTACAAATACATAAAATAAATGGCGAGTGGTTTTGGTTTTATTTCTCTAGAAATAGAGAAAAGTAAGAAATATCGAAACATCACCAATCTACCAAATCAGATATAGAAGGACAAACACATTTATCATGATAAGTTTCAGAAATCTAATATTGAATAATATATCGATTAATATTAGCTTATAAGTTTCATATATGTTAAAAGCACTTATATTTTCATTTCCAATTAGTGGTGAAAATCCTGATTCATATATATTCGAGTCTCAGATGTAGCTAAAACAAGCTGAAATGGCGATGTTCCTCAGTGAGCTTAAATAATCAACCTTAAAATTTCTATCTCATTTAATATACAGATGCTTTCTTCTTAATTCGAATGTTTACGAAAACATTTCTTCATTTTGATATTTCTGGTAATTAATTGGTAAAATATCAATTTCGATAATTCGTTATATCTACATAAAAATTATAAGACAGGTGAAAAAAATAGAATTTAAGGAGCTATTTTTCGTCGCACCAGCGACTTACGAATTACTATCAGCAAACCACTACAGTCCACAGCTCTGCCAGCGCGTTTATTCTAATAGCGGAACGCGTTTATTCTAATAAGATTCAGAAATATATTCGTGAATAATGTCACGATATTCCCCTCTTTTTGTTTAGCATTCTTTCTTGCAGGTAATCGTCTTTATTTTTAGAATTAGTGAATATTACTTATGCGTGTCTGGTCGTGCCCGATGAGTCGGAGATTACCAGACACGTCACCATTAGCGCTGGTGTTGTCTCCTCAGTGTGCCTTTTTAATTCAACCTTCAATCATTTCTTACGCACTGTACACCCTTCTTAGTTTTAATTTTTACGAAATAATTTCTTCCTCTGGTAATTTCTTTTTCACATTATGAATTTCGATGTTTCGCTATTTCTCAAAAATAAAGAAATCGAAAATGTGATCCGAAATAATCAACACCTATGTGTCCCACCCTTCTGGATTGGTTTCTTTACTCGAGGGTTAAAACTTTCTTCCGTCGAGCCGAGTTGAACCAACGACCTATGATTTCTGTCAACAAACCTTCTAAGATCCACCGCTCTGCCAACTGGAGCTATCGCAGGCAAACACGTTTATTGTTAATAAGTATCATAAATGAGTATATATAAATATAGTAGGATACATATTACATTCTTTTATTGCTCCGAAGCAATCGTCACTTCGTTTCCGATTCGTGGTCATTACATATGAATGCATTTTTCTTTTCTAAGCTATGGCAAAATGGCGAGGCACGACACCATTACCTCCTGGTTTAACTCCTCAGTGTCTTTAATACAAAACAACATTTCAATCAATCTTTACTTTGAGCCTTGATTTTTCGAAAAATATTTTTCAACTCTATATTAATTTTTCTTGATAATAATATCCATTTTCATTTTCAACTTGTTCACAAAAATTATTATAAAGCTGATAGAAAATAATCAACACCTATGTGTCGGTCGCCTGTTCTAGATGGTTTTATTACTGAGGTTGAAAAACTTTTTCCGTCGAGCGAGTTGAACCAGCGACCTATGGATTACTGTCCACAAACCTCTACAGTCACCGCTCTGCCAGCTCGGCTATCGGACGGACGAAACGTTTTTGAGCCTTAGTGTAATAAGATTGAAGAAGGTCGCATCAATGTCACGATATTTCTCTTGTTTCATTCTTTTTTCTGCAAGTAATCGTCTTTATTTGCAATTAGTGGTGATATTACTTATGCGTGTCTGGTCGTGCCGCGGCGAGTCGAAAGATTACCAGACACGTCACCATTAGCGCTGGTGTTGTTCAGTGTGCTCTTTAAAATTCAATCCTTCAATCATTTCTACGCACCGGTGTCTCTAGTTTTTAATTTTACGAAATACTTCTTCTACTCTGGTAATTTCTTATACATTATGAATTTTCTGATGTTTCGGCTATTTCTTCCAAAAAAATAAAGAATGAAAAATGTGATCCGGAAATAATCAACACCTATGTGTCACCCACCCCTTCTGATTGGTTTCTTTACTCGAGGTTAAAAATCCTTCCGTCGAGCCGAGTTGAACCAGCGACCCATGGATTGCCAACAAAACCCTCTACAGGTCCACCGCTCTGCCAACTGAGCTTATCGATTTGGCAATGTTTATTACATTAAGTATCATAAATGAGTATATAAATATAGTAGATACATATTACATTCTTTTTAAAATTCGGTAGCAATCGTCACTTGCTCTGATTCGTGGTCCCATTTACATATGAATGTATTTTTCTTCTGGCTATGGCAGAAAAATGGCGAGGCATCGACACCACCCTGGTTTAACTCCCTCAAAGTGTCTTAATACAAAACAACATTTCAATCAATCTTACTGAGCTAATTTGAATTTTTTCACCTCTATATTAATTGTAATTTTCTTGATAAAATATCCATTTTCATTTTTTTTCAAGACTGGTTCACAAAATTATTACAGCGTGATAGAAAATAATCACACCTATGTCGGTCGCTCTGTTTGTATTCTCTATTACACGAGGTTGAAAAACTTTTTTTCCGTCGAGCCGGAGTTGAACCAGCGACCTGGATTACTGTCAACAAACCTCACAGTCCACCGCTCGCCAACTGAGCTATCGGACGGACGAACAGTTTATTATAATAAGATTCAGAGTATATTCGTGAATAATGTCACGAAGATATTCCCTCTTTTTTTTCTATTCTTTCTAAGTAATCGTCTTTATTTTGAATTAGTGATATTATTTATGCGTGTCTGGTCGTCCGCGGCGAGTTCGAAGATTCCAGATCAGTCACCATTAGCGCTGGTGTTTGTCCTCATGGCCTTTAAATTCAACCTTCAATCATTTCTTACGCACTGCATAACCCTTCTTAGTTTTAATTTTACGAAATAATTCTTCACTGCAATTTTGGTACACATCTCGAATTCGATTGTGCTTCATATTTTCCTAAAATAAAAGAAATCAAAATGTGATCCGAAATAATCAACACCTATGTGTACCCACCTACTGGATTGTTTCACTCGAGGTTGTGGAACTTATTCCGTCGAGCTGGAGTTGAACATGACAGACCTATGGATTTCTGTCAACAAACCTCTACAGTCCATTCTGCTCACAACTGAGCTATCGACTGGCAAACACGTTTATTACATAAGTATGCAAATGAGTATATATAAATATAGTAGGGATAGACATTCGAGCATTCTTTAAATTCCAGGAATCGTCACTGTCTTCGATCTGTGGTCCCATTACTATGAATGCATTTTCTTTTCGCTATGGCAGAAAATGGCGAGGGCAGACACCTGCCATCTCTGTTTAACTCCTCAGTGTCTTTACTCAAACAACATTTCAATCAATCTTACTGAGCTAATTTGAATTTTTTCGAAAATATTTTTTCAACTCTATTAATTTTCTTGATAAAATACCCATTTTCATTTTTTTCGAACTGTTCACAAAATTATATAAAGGCATTGATAGAAAATAATCAACACCTATGTGTCGTTCGCTCCTAGATAGGTTTTATTACTCGAGGTTGAAAAACTTTTTCCGTCGAGCCGGAGTTGAACCAGCGACCTATGGATTACTGTCAACACCCTACAGTCCACCGCTCTGCCAACTGAGCTATCGACGGACGAACACGTTTATATAATAAGATTCTAGAAGTATATTCGTGAATAATGTCACGATAGATATTCCCTCTTTTTTCTTCTTTCTGCAAGTAATCGTCTTTTATTTTGCAATTAGGGTGATATTACTTATGCGTGTCTGGCGTGCCGCGGCCGAGTCGGAAGATTACCAGACACGTCACCATTAGCGCTGGTGTTGTCTCCTCAGTGTGCCTTTAATTCAACCTTTCAATCATTTCTTACGCACTGTACACCCTTCTTAGTTTTAATTTTTTAGAAATACCTTCACTCTGGTAATTTCTGGTACATTATGAATTTCGATGTTCTATTCTTCCAAAAAAATAAAGAAGAAAATGTGATCCGAAAATACACCTATGTGTCACCCACCTTCTGGATTGGTTTCTTTACTCGAGGTTAAAAACTTTCTTCCGTCGAGCTCGAGTTGAACCAGCGACCTATGGATTTCTTCAACAAACTCTACAATCCACCGCTCTGCCAACTGAGCTATCGACGGGCAAACACGTTTATTACAATAAGTATCATAAATGAGTATATATAAATATAGTAGGGATACATATTACATTCTTTTAAAATTGAGTCGTCACTGTTTCGATTCGTGGTCCCATTACATATGAATGCATTTTTCTTTCTGGGCTATGGCAGAAAATGGCGAGGCACGACACCATTACCCCTGGTTTAACTCCTCAGTGCGTCTTTAATACAAACAACATTTCAATCAATCTTTACTGAGCTAATTTGAATTTTTTCGAAAATATTTTTTCAACTCTATATTAATTTTCTTGATAAAATACCCATTTTCATTTTTCGGAACTTGTTCACAAAAATTATTATAAAGGCATTGATAGAAAATAATCAACACCTATGTGTCGGTCGCCTGTTCTAGATAGGTTTTATTACTCGAGGTTGAAAACTTTTTCCGTCGAGCCGAGTTGAACCAGCGACCTAGGATTACCGTCAACAAACCTCTACAGTCCACCCTGCAACTGAGCTATCGACGGACGAACACGTTTATTATAATAAGATTCAGAGCATATTCGAATATGTCACGATAGATATTCTCTCTCTTTTGTTTCATTCTTTCTGCATCGTCTTTATTTTGCAATTAGGTGATATTACTTATGCGTGTCTGTCGTGCCGCGGCTGAGTCGAAGATTACCAGACACGTCACCATTAGCGCTGGTGTTGCTCCTCAGTGTGCCTTTAAAATTCAACCTTTCAATCATTTCTTACGCACTGTACACCCTTCTTAGTTTTAATTTTTACGAAATAATTTCTTCACTCTGGTAATTTCTTGGTACATTATGAATTTCGATTATTTCTTCCAAAAAAAAAAATCGAAAAATGTGATCCAAATAATCAACACTCATGTGTCACCCACCCTTCTGGATTGGTTTCTTTACTCGAGGTTAAAAACTTTCTTCCCATGAGCCGAGTTGAACCAGCGACCTATGGATTTCTGTCACAAACCTCTACAGTCCACCGCCTGCCAACTGAGCTATCGACGGGCAAACACGTTTTTATTACAATAAGTATCATAAAGTATATAATATAGTAGGGATACACATTACACTTTTTAATCTGCAAGCAATCGTCACTTCGTTTCCGATCTGTGGTCCCATTACATATGAATGCATTTTTCTTCTGTGGGCATGGCAGAAAATGGCGAGACGACACCATTACCTGGTTTAACTCCTCAGTGCGTCTTTAATACAAATTAACATTTCAATCTTTACTGAGCTTAATTTGATATTTTTCAACTCTATATTAATTGTAATTTTCTTGATAAAATATCCATTTTCATTTTCAACTGGTTCACAAAAATTATTACAAAGGCATTGATAGAAAATAATCAACACCTATGTGTCTGTCGCCTGTTCTAGATAGGTTTTATTACTAGCGTTAAAAACTTTTTCCGTCGAGCCGGAACCAGCTGACCTATGGATTACTGCACACAACTCTACAGTCCACCGCTCTGCCAACTGAGCTATCGACGGACGAACACGTCTTATTATATAAGATTCAGAAGCTATAATTCGTACGTCAGATAGATATTCCCTCTTTTGTTTCATTCTTTCTGCAAGTAATCGCTTTTATTTGCAATTAGGTGATATTACTGCTGCTCGGTCGTGCCAGGCCGAGTCGGAAGATTACCAGACACGTCACCATTAGCGCTGGTGTTGTTCTCATGCCTTTAAAATTCAACCTTTCAATCATTTTTTTCACGCACTGTACACCCTTCTTAGTTTTAATTTTACGAAATAATTTCTTCACTCTGGTAATTTCTTGGTACATTATGAATTTCGATGTTTCGCTATTCTTCCAAAAAATAAAAGAAATCGAAAATGATCCGAAATAATCACACACCTATGTGTCACCCCCCTCTCTGATTGGTTTCTCTCGAGGTTAAAAACTTCTTCCGTCGAGCCGGAGTTGAACCAGGACCTATGGATTTCTGTCAACAAACCTTCTACAGTCCACCGCTCTGCCAACTGAGCTATCGACGGCAAACACGTTTATTTTAATAAGTATCATAATGAGTTATATAAATATAGTAGGGATATTATTACACTTTAAAAATTGGTAAGCAATCGTCACTTCGTTTCCGATCTGTGGTCCCATTATAATGAATTGCATTTTCTTGCATGGCAGAAAAATGGCGAGGTGACACACCATTACCCCTTGGTTTAACTCCTCAGTGCGTCTTTAATAAAACAACATTTCAATCAATCTTACGAGCTAATTTGAATTTTTTTCGAAAACTATTTTTCAACTCTATATTAATTTTCTTGATAAAATACATTTTCATTTTTTTTCGAACTGTTCACAAAATTATTATGGGCATTGATAGAAAATAATCAACACCTATGTGTCTCGCCTGTTCTGATAGGTTTTTTTACTCGAGGTTGAAAAACTTTTCTCGAGCCGGAGTTGAACCGACCTATGGATTACTGTCAACAAACTCTACAGTCCACCGCTCTGCCAACTGAGCTATCGACGGACGAACACGTTTTATAATAAGATATAGCATATTCGTGAATAATGTCACGATAGATATTCCCCTTTTTGTTTCATTCTTTCTGCAAGTAATCGTCTTTTATTTTGCATTAGTGGTGATATTATTATGCGTGTCTGTGTGTCCGCGGCCGAGTCGAAAGATTACCAGACACGTTCCACCATTAGCGCTGGTGTTGTTCCTCAGTGTGCCTTTAAAATTCAACCTTTCAATCATTTCTTACGCATCTGTCACCCTTCTAGTTTTATTTTTACGAAATAATTTCTTCACTCTGGTAATTTCTTGGTACATTATGAATTTCGATGTTTCGCTATTTCTTCCAAAAAATAAAAAGAAATCGAAAAATGTGATCCGAAATAATCAACACCTATATACGGCCCTTCTGATTGGTTTCTTTACTCGAGGTTAAAAACTTTCTTCGTCGAGCCGGAGTTGAACCAGCGACCTATGGATTTTCCTGTCAAAACCTCTACAGTCACCGCTCTGCCAACTGAGCTATCGACGGGCAAACACGTTTATTACAATAAATCATAAATGAGTATATATAAATATAGTAGGATACATATTACATTCTTTTAAAATTCGAAGCAATCGTCACTTCGTTTTCCGAATTCGTGGTCCCATTACATATAACGTATTTTTTCTTCTGGGCTATATGGCAGAAATGGCGAGGCACGACACCATTACCCCTGGTTTAACTCCTCAAAGTGCGTCTTTTAATAATATTTCAATCAATCTTTACTGAGCTAATTTGAATTTTTTCAACTCTATATTAATTGTAATTTTCTTGATAAAATATCCATTTTCATTTTTTCAAGACTGGTTCACAAAAATTATTACAAAGGCATTGATAGAAAATAATCAACACCTATGTGTCGGTCGCCTGTTCTAGATAGGTTTTATTACTCGAGGTTGAAAAACTTTTTTCCGTCGAGCCGGATACCAGCGACCTATGGATTACTGTCAA